TGCGAGCAGGAGGATTGCAGCCGAACTCTTGTTGTGTTTTGTGTGTTGAGACGAAGCGGGCGCTCTGGCGCCCAGGCTGGAGGCAGGCGGATCTCAGCTCGGACTGCAAGTCCACCTCACGCGGGTTCCCGGACGCGAGTGCGTCGCGTGACTCCGGCCTCCCCACGTGAGCTGGGACTACGGGTGCCGGCCACTACGCCCAGCTAATTGTTCTTTGTATTTTGTAGGTTAGAGACGGGGTGTTCACGTGTAGCCAGGATGGTCTCGATCGGCGACCCTGCGATGATCCGCCCGAGGTCGCGGCGCGCGCCAAAGCGTGGGGGATTACGGCGTGAGCCAGGCGCGGGGCGGCCGAGCGCGGTAGGAGAGGGCGAGCGCAACATCTGTCGCCCTGGGAGGAGACACCCTTGCTGAATCATGTCTGGATTAACGGGAATGCGGCTAAAAGAGCGTCTTCCAGGCAGGGACACAGACTGCGAAGAGCAGAGGATGCCGCACGGTCCCCAGATGGTACCGGAGTCCTGACCCAGCCGCACCCGCTGCAGGGAGGTCACCCAGGCCCGGAGTCCCAGTAAGAAGAGACGCGCGCGCAGGCAGCAGACGCAGGGTGTGGCAGAGAGGCAGCGGCGGTCGGGAGGAGTGCCGCGTCCAGTAAGAGCGCATGTTGCCAGCACGCAGAGGGTGGGCATCGTGCTCGCCTCATCAGGCACTGCGGAGATGTCCGTGAGTGGCGGAGTTTCGATTCTTCACAGGGCTGCGGTAGTCTGATATGGCGGATCAGGGTGGTGTTTCGCTGACGAGACGAAAGCCAAGGTTTCCCTGAAGGAGGACTGCCTAGAGATAAAGAAAGGAGGAAGAGACAGAGAGATGCGCCGAAGCCCGGGCTGGTACCCGAGCTGGACAGGGTGAGAGGGCATGAAGTTGCGAGGGATGAGTCTGCCACTCCAAATATGCGAGGGCTTGTTCCGGATTGTTTGTTAAAGGGGAGAACCGGGGCCTGTTGGAGGAAGAGCCCAGACTTCCGCACGGAGTGTGTGGTATATTATAGTGTTGGAGGCGGACTGTAGGCTGAGCTACTTCTGACTTCATCCTTTCTCGTCTGTTACAAAGAGAACTTTGGTTTCTCAAGGTTTAAGAATTAATGTCAAAGAGCAATTCGGTGTTCTTTTTGAGTTGCCAGCCTTGCTGTGGATGATTCGTGAGTCCTTGGTGGTTAGGGCCACAGCACAATCGGTGGGCCGTCTGTTCCCCACCCTGGTGGAGACTTTCTCACCCAAAGAAATGTATTCTGTTAACATGTCTCAATTAGGATATTTTAGTCGGAGACAGAGTTATGGCTCTTGTTTGTAATAGATGATTACTGTAGCAGGGTCAAGGTTGAGACTTGCAGTGTGGCTCATGGAACACGTTGATTAGAAACACCCAAAATATATCACCAACTTTGTTGCTGCAGCTCCAAGGGACTAGGAATGCATATGTTGTTTTTTTTTCTTTTGTTATTACTTATTATTTTTATTTTTGAGACAGAGTCGTGCTCTGTCACCCAGGCTGGACTGCAGTGGCATGATCTCAGCTCACTGCAACCTCTGCTTCCAGGGTTCAAGAGAATCTTGTGTCTCAGCCTCCCGAGTAGCTGGGATTACAGGTGCCTGCCACCATGTCCAGCTAATTTTTGTATTTTTAGTAGAGACAGGGGTCTCACTGTGTTGGCCAGGCTGGTCTTGAACTCCTGACTTCAAGTGATCTGCCCACCTTGACCTCCCAAAGTGCTGGCATTACAGGCATGAGCCACTGTGCCTGGCCGCCATGACCATTTTAAATGTGGCACTGAATATCTGCCTTTTTTTTTTAAAAGAAGTGCAGACGTCACCCCTCACACCTCTGTTCTGGGGCTGGCCTGGGCTGGCCAGCAGGGCTTCCAGGCTCGAGGCCGTGTCTGAAGTGTTGTTGGACAATGTGGAACCCTTGGTCTTTGGGGACGTGGGGCACCCCGAGACACCCACAGTCTTGCGAGGGTTTACGGCTCTGTGTGTGGCTGCTGTGAGGCAGCTTTGGGCGGGGAGGAAGGAGAGCAGAGCCCATCTGTCCTGGTGCGGAAAATGCCCAAGAAAGTAAAGAAATGGTACAAAAAAATCATCATCTGCCCTGGTGCCATTTCTGTTAAAAAAAAAAAAAAAATTCACTCTGAATGTGGCTCTGTGCTTGAGGAGGATAGAAAATACCTGGAAAGATGCACAAAGTGTTCTTACGGGGTCAGCGCCGGGAAGTGGGATGGGAGGCTTGGGAGTGTGTGGAAAGGAGGACGCGGCATATTTTATTCTAGTCTATTTGGTAGAGCGAGTGACGAAAGTGAAGCTTGAGTGATCCGAGCAGCTCGGCCTGGCCATGGGTAGATCCCAGCGTGTCCCGCCTCCCGCCTCCAGCTGCAGCTCTATTTCTCAGTCACAGATGAGACAGGTGGCCTGAGGCTGTGGGCGGAGGAGGGGCAGCTTGGTGTCCCCAGCACGTGACTGTCCAGGCTGCTCTTGGGGCAGCCTGAGGGAAGGGGCGGAGGAGAGCTGGGAGGGTGCACAGTGCATCCTCCTCCCCCGCCCTGGTACTGAGGTGAGCCCAGGCTGCTGTCAGGATGGAGGAAGATGCCCTCAGGACGGAGGAAGAGGCCGGTGGAGTTTGGTCATCAGCCAGTGTGGTCTTTCCCACAGGGGATACACAGTGCGCCAACTCGCAGGAAAAAACTCTGCTTTAGTTTTTAAATTTTGCTCATTCTGTTTATCATGCTGGTCATGCTAAGATTTGGAAATTGTTGGTAGGAATCAGTGTCAATTGCATACAGTTGACTCTTGTACAACACAAGCTTGAGCTTTGCGGGTCAACTTATAGGTGGATTTTTTCAACCAAACTCAGGGAGAAAATGCAGTGTGCCTGCCACATAAAACACGTGTCGGAGGGCTGACTCTTTGTACACGCAGAAAATACAGTGTTCCTGCCACGTGAAACGCGTGTCGGAGGGCTGACTCTTTGTACACGCAGAAAATACAGTGTCCTGCCATGTGAAACGCGTATCGGAGGGCCGACTCTTTGTACACGCAGAAAATACAGTGTCCTGCCATGTGAAATGCGTGTCGGAGGGCCGACTCTTTGTACACGCAGAAAATACAGTGTTCCTGCCACGTGAAATGCGTGTCAGAGGGCCGACTCTTTGTACACGCAGAAAATACAGTGTTCCTGCCATGTGAAACGCATGTCGGAGGGCTGACTCTTTATACACGCAGAAAATACAGTGTTCCTGCTATGTGAAATGCGTGTCGGAGGGCCGACTCTTTGTACACGCAGAAAATACAGTGTCCTGCCGTGTGAAACTTGTGTCGGAGGGCTGACTCTTTGTACACGCAGAAAATACAGTGTCCTGCCATGTGAACGCGTGTCGGAGGGCTGACTCTTTGTGCACGCAGATAATACAGTGTCCTGCCATGTGAAATGCGTGTTGAAGGGCCGACTCTTTGTACACACAGAAAGTACAGTGTTCCTGCCATGTGAAACGCATGTCGGAGGGCTGACTCTGTACACACAGAAAATACAGTGTTCCTGCCATGTGAAATGGGTGTTGGAGGGCTGACTCTGTACACGCAGAAAATACGGTATTCCTGCCATGTGAAATGCGTGTCGGAGGGCTGACTCTTTGTACACACAGAAAGTACAGTGTTCCTGCCATGTGAAACGGGTGTCGGAGGGCTGAC